CACACACACACACACACACACCAATGTCAGTCATTAGTGTAACCCTCGTCTTCGACGAACTGCTCGCTGCAGCTGTCGGAATCGGGGTCATCCTCGACAATCTTTTTGCGAGGCTTACACTGCTGTTTTTTTTTTTTTCGGCTTCGTAGCTGGACCAGCAGTCGAGTTCTTCCGAGGCCTGCCACGTGGAAGTCTCGGGCTCGGCACATCGTCGACAGGGGGCGGCTTCCTCTTTCTCCCAACCCTGCTGACCCACAGGTTGTCGTGTTGGCTTCCCTCTACGTTGTCTGGGAATTCGGGGGAATTCTCCGGTGACCCGGCAGTCTGCATTGTTTTCTTCAGACGCTTGTACACGGTCGTCGGTGCATGCTGTTGCTGTTGCGGCTCCTCCTCGCTGTTCGCCATCTCGTCGTGCTGCTGCTCCTTCTTGCTCTCTCCCACCCGTTCCGCATGTTGGTCCTCCAACCCCTCTTCTTGCTGGTCCGTGCCCTTCCCTTAGTCTTGTTCCATCTCCTCCTCTTGCCGCTCCATGCAAGCCTCTTCTTCTTCGTCCTCCATCTCTTCTTCTTCCTGCGCCTGGTGGGCCATCTCGTGTTCTTCCTCCTCGTCTTGCTGGCCCATCTCCTCCTCTTCCTCCTCCTCTTGCTGCCCCATCTCCAGCACAGGCTCTGGTTCATGCTCTCCAACCTTCTTCTTTTGTTTCTCCATTTCTCTACGGGTTGGTATAGCTGCTCGCCGCTCGTCCTCTCTCATTCTCCTTTGCAACCGTTCGGGATCCGCATCACCCACGATCGGCCTCCGCTTCATCCGCATCGATCGGACCGGGGCGAAGCACCATGTCAATGTCGGTGTTCGTCTGCGGTACCTCAACATCGGATTGGATGTCGTATTGTGCCCTTGTATTCGTCGTCCGTTGAGATGGCGTTGTGGGCGGGCGTTCTCGACGGCGCTGCGTTGTTGGCCTCCTCCCAACATATGTGGTGCCTGGGATTGAGGGTCGCGCTCCCAGCTCAAAATCATCGTCGGACGAGTCTTCTACCTCCCCTTCGCTAGACGTTTCAGACCATGGAGTTTTTCCCTTCCATATCTCGTCGTCCAAGTCGCTGTCGTCCGTGTGCTCCTCTTCATCTTCTTCGAGGTTCTTCGGAATCCAGCCCTTTGATATTCATGCGCCTGTTCCTCCTCCGTTTTCCCCGTCTCCTCCTCGGGCTCCTCCAAAAGAGGATCATCCCCCTCCTCCGCATCCGGAAGAGACTCGAAGAACTCCACCCACAAATCGACGTAGTGATGGTCCTTTAAGTTCTTGCTCTCCCGCAACGGATTCATATTCCAATGAATGTACACAAGCTTCTCCACGGTCGCGGGCTTCAACCGATTCCGTTGCTTGGAGTGCAGCGGGCTTCAACCGATTCCGTTGCTTGGAGTGCACCAAGTCCATCGAGGACCAATTACGCTCCGCCGGAGTTGCAGTGCTCCACATGCCCATCACTTTAAAAGCAATGGCCTGCAATGTCCGTCGGAGACCAATTACGCTCCGTCGGAGTTGCAGTGCTCCACATCGCCACCATGTGTTGCCCACCACTCCGACGGCGAGATGCAATCAGCATCCGTGACCGCATCCTCATCCCACATCTTCGTGTCCTTCCGCTTGGGGTCGTATGCGGTGGGTCGCTTGTGAAACTCGCGCAGGTCGCTTAATATATCCACGTGCGCATTGGACTTCCAAGGTCCACCAATTTGCCTCTGCAAATAACGCAGCGCGTTCTGCACAAGTGTGCTATCCTGGTCCAGCAACCACTTCGGGTCTCTCCTCCGCGGGTCGAAAAGAAAAGCCAGCGCGTGCACCGGTTGCCGCATCATCTTCATGTGGTCCCTCACCTTCTCTAGCATAGAACTTCGTTGCTCGGGTGTGAGCACAACCTCCGCCAGCATCCTCTCCATGAGTCGGTCGTACTCCACAAGGTTTGACGGTGCAGTCCCGTCCTTGTCCATCCTCCGCAGTAGGAGATACAACGGCTCCATCATCTCCACCACCTTCCTTAACTCCGTCCACCAAGCATCCCTTCGCATTGTGAAGTACACGAGATCCGCTTTCGCTTGCAGCTTCGAGCTCGACCACCGCATCGCCTTCCATTTCCCCACATTCATCGCCTCCACCATGTCCTTCAAACTGCCCTCCGGTCCAGCATCCGGTACACCGACCCGAAATGGACCTCAGTCGGTCGCAACAGCATTAATGATGAGTCCAAACTCATCATGAAACTGTTAGTCGTGTGGTGATTCCTGATAAACTTGACGATGGTGTGGCCCCGCTTCACTATGCCCTTCACCCAGTCCAACTTGCTGATGTCCCTTAGCAGCAAGCTGCAGCAGTGTGCAACGCAGGGAACCCAAGGTATCCTTGAAACCGTAGGGTCCGTGCGTCGTTCCAAAATTTGAGCTGCTCTCTTGTTCACCTCCGCATTGTCAGTGCAAATCGCATTGATGCGATGCAGCCCGATTTCCCTCATTGTTTTCTCCCAAAGTTTCGCCAACGCTGCTCCCGTCTTCTTCTTGCCGTCCATGTGCACCGTCGCCACTAAAACAGCTCCCTGCTCCCCTGCCGCATAGAAGTTCATGACAGGCCGCTCCCTCCGATCGTTAGACCCGTCCGTGATGAAAGTGCAGCCGGTGACATCCCAACATTTTGTCAAAGGCTCCACTTGCTTTTGAATGCGCATGAAAATGAACTCGAGCATGACAGTCCGAATGTGCTTCGAAGACGGCAACTTCACCTTCGGTCTGGCGTTTGCCACCTCGATTTACACATCGCGCAGTTGTCGGGTGGTGTCGAACTCCGGGAACTGGAATGCAATTCCGGCTCTGAACATTGCCTCCGCCCACGCAACGTCCAACTTCGTCTGCGCCGCGTTGTCGACCCATCTCTTGATGGTCGTTTGCTGCAGTGAAGCCACCCTTGCGGTGGAATTACCATCTTCTCCCACCGTCTCTACCGCTGCAGTTTCTTTTCCCCGGTGCACCACCTCCTCCACTGGCTCCCTCCCAGCAGCAACCGGCGGTTGTGGCTCCTCGTAACCGCAAGGTACAACCGCACTCTCGTCATCTTCGGTGATAGCAGCCCCCCTCAATCCATCCATCCATCTTATTCTTTTTCTTTTTATTTCTTCTTGGCCATTGTTAAGCAGTCTCCCTCTATCCCTCCATCCCTCCATCTTCTTCTTCTTCTGTTTTGTTTATCTTCGTCAACATTGTCAGTCAGTCTCCCTCCCATCTCGCCATCCCTCAACAAACCCGAAACCTCCTCCATGCATCCATCCATCTATTCATCCATCTTCTTCTTCTTCTTCTTCAAAGTTATTAAACAGTCTGCCTCCATCCCTCCATCCCTCCATCCACTATCTCGCCATCCCTACCTACCTATCTCCATCCTTCCATCCATCTTCCGCTTCCTCTTCTTCTTTTTTTAACTTCTTCGACATTGTAAAGCATCTCCCTCCATCGTACTATCTCGTCATCCATCCATCTTCTTCTTCTTCTTCTTCTTCTTCTTCTTCTTCTTCTTCTTTTTCTTCTTCTTCTCCGACATCGTAAAGCAGTCTCCCTCCGTCCGTCCATCCTACCATTTTATCAGTTGTTTATTGGAAGGGGAGGAGGTGTTTGCAGCAGCATGGTCAGCGGGAGCAGGGCAGGGGGTGCGGTTGTTGGAGAAGGAAGCCGGAGGCAGTCGGAAAGAGGAGGGGTAGAGGGCAGGGCATTGCGAGCTCAAGCGCACCTTCGTCGGGGGTGGTTGACAAAGTCCCGACACCAGCTACGGACCCATCCTTGTTCGTCCCACAGCCGGAGGAAAGGAAAGGCGAGAAGGAGGTGTGGAAGCATGTGGAGCAAGGTCAGGAGGCTTCGCCAACGGGTCGGGGAGAGTATTGGCTGCGGTGTCGGCTATGCTCGACCATTTACAGGGGCATGAGCACAAGAGCCGTTGAGCATTTCCTCAAATTGCAGAAGCCTTCCCCTTTCAGGATAGGCGAGATATTGCACAAGCTGGTGGCCCAAGGCGTGCAGGTGCTGCCGAAGGACAAGAAGACGCAATACCTTCTGCAAAATTACCGGCAGGGAGGGAGGGATGGCGAGATGGGAGGGAGGGAAGTATGGCGAGATGGCGAGGGAGGGACAAAAGGAATATGGCGAGATGGCGAGATGGGAGGGACTATGGCGAGACGGGAGGGAGGGAGGGATGGCGAGATACTATGGCAAGGTGTCGATATGGGAGGGAGGGAGGGATGGCGAGATGGCGAGGGAGGGAGGGAGTATGGC